AGGGAAACTCAGGGAGCTCAGGGGAGACGCAGGAGAACGCAGGAGAACACAGGAGAACGCAGAGACCCAACGAATACGACCCGACGAGGAACAAGACAGAACAGACAGCTCTTATACAAGGACAAAACGAGACGTGATTACAAACAGCTGTGACGAGACAAGGGTGGCATCAATTAAACTAAAGAGAACACACAAGGGACACACAGACACAAACAGGGCCAGTAAATGGTACCATCCTTACAACCACTGAGCTACCACAGCCTCTGAGTGGAGCACAGAGCTGCCAGCTGCCCGGGGAGCAGATGGTGGGGGTGGAGGGCCTTGCTCAAGGGCCCAGAGTGAGGCAAAGGGTGGAAGCAGGTGTGTGTCACCTTTCCCACCTACATTTTGATGTTGTCAGTCCAGGGAGTTGAACAGCCATTGTTCCGATCACACCTTCTCTAACCTCTGCGCCACCACTCCCCCACTAAAATATTATTTTGAAGGTTATTCTCGAGGTTTAACTTGATACAACTCCATCATTTTTCCACAGATGATCTTAGTCTAAAGCTCTGACAGGACATAAGATCTGATCTTGCTGGTGCAGGTGTCTGTTTTTCTTGCATGGACTCAGAGGACAACTGGGGCAACGTCCTGGTGAGTCCTTCCACTGCGGCGCGCCCACGTGCAAACAGAAACCACACAGCACGATTGGAAGACTGGATGTTTATCTTCAGCTGATGATGGAGGAGTTGGAGGAGGAAGATCTGGTGCTTCTGTTGTTAACCCAGTAGAAGTGCTCGTTTGCAGATTCGTCGTGAAGAGACGGCAACGTTTCAGACAGAACATGTCCCCACACCAACACCAAGTCCCTCCTGGTCAGCACACCTCTGAGAGCTGCCGTGTCGCCACACTGTCTCCTCCACGATCTCCCCTCAGGAGTTCATCTTCATAAGTTTTATCTGAATGGGTTTTCCTGGAAAAGCAGAGCAGCTGAAGGAAATGCGAGCGGTGTAATTCACCCACTTTCAGCATTAACGTGCCCACAAAGATCTGAACCATCACACAATATTCCCTGCAAGACGATACCTCTGACAAGGGCTTCTGCACAGAACCGGTTCTTAGAGACAGTGTAAGATGCCAATTTTATTTTATTTTTTATCGTGCAACGTGAGTGTGAAATGATTTCAGCCCTTCTCATGAAGTATAAATCAGCCTTTAAACTTTGGCTTGAAATGCAGCGGGCGATCGGCACTCCTTCGAGGACTTGTCCTTTATTTTTATTATCAATGAGTGCACTTTAAAATGTGAACCAGATCTGAAACATGTAAAGTTACACATGTGTTAATGTGAAATCTGCAGAGCACCACGTCTCCCCCTCTCATACTGAACACAGTCAAGCTCCCTAAGACGTTTAGTTTTTAAATTCAGCAGGACTGAAGCCATGCACACGGGCCCATCCAGCTCCTTTTATGGACATTTTGGTCAGAAATGTTCCCCCTTGTTTCTCAAAAAGGATTTTGACTGATTTGGCTGACTGGAGGAGCATTGTTGAGGAAAAGTGCTGGGCAGCTCAGAGGACTCCTTTTACTTAAACCCATTAAAACAAGGATGAAACGACAGAGAAGCAGAGAGTGAGGGTTGGAGGATAAAGCAGGCAGAGACAGAGGACACTCTATAAATAGCAGCTATCACATACTTGTTTGATTGTGAGAAACAAAAGACCTTTCAGACTCTGCGTTCCTGTTTGGATCCCAAAGTTGATTTGAGACGATGCATGGGAGACAAATTCAAATATGCCTTTCATCATCAGATTTTTATTGTCTTTTGCGTTTCAAAGGCAAGTGATAACATGACCGTTAGCAAAATATCCATGAACTAGTGAATTAATTTTAACAAACAAAAAATAATCACTAAATGTACATCGACAATCGATTATTAGAGTCAACTTGATTTACGGGCCACAGAGACCTGACTCCAGTTTATTTTTTACAAATATGACACAAATCCCCAAACAACAAACTCTGTGCAGATTGGACACGATCTTTGTTTAAAGTTTGGCCATCAACAATTTAGAATCATCTGTTTGTTAGTAAAATATCTCATCAACAAGTGATTGTCAGGATTCCAGCCTGTTCGAATGGTTTTAACAGAACAATCAGGAAATGATCACGTGACCTCTACAGCTGATTCAGTTTTGAAGATGGCCGCCGCAGCCAACTAGTTTTAGAAAACACAAAACTGGCAACAGTTAATTTAGTTTTATGGATATTATAATAAAAAATGGTGTGGTAGTAGCACAAAGTCATCCACAATACATGTTCCAGGATAGGGCAGGGCTACTGCACAAGACCTTAACTGAAACACAAACTGCTGGGGCAAAACTGTCAGCAAAATATCTCCTGAACGACTGGCGTTTAAAAAGCAATCACTAGATATGAATCTGCAACTGATTACTGTGTGGAACCAACACACTCCAAGCTGGCTGTAACAACTAATAAACTCTGGTTAACACCGTCTGTTCTCCTGTGATGTGGTAGTAGCTGAGAGTCATCTTCAACACGTACCCTGAGCGTGAGATTTTTCATCATCGCGTGAAACTGAGCTTTTCTCAGTGTTCCGGAAAGGCGGGTGATATGCATTCACTGAAGGCAAGCCACACCCTTAATCATCCATCATCTATCCATCCATTCATCCATCCATCCATCCATCCATCCATCCATCCATTCATCCATCATCTTTACCCGCATCTTTATAGTTAGGGTCAGCTTGGGTTTCCTGAGCTAACCCTTAGTTATGCTGCTATAGGCTTAGACTGCTGGAGGACAAACTGACCACATTTCTTCTCTGCTACTGTCTTTACTTACTCTGCTCAACCTGTTTTGTATTTGTAGTTATTTTTTCCAACCTTGACATGTGTATTTGTCTTTCAGGTACACCTGGATCTATATGGACCTACCATTCTGTGTTTGTCTGTCTCTCCTTCCTGTCCTCTCAACCAGCCGGTCAAAGCAGACGGCTGCGTGTCCTGAGCTGGTTCTGCTGGAGGTTTCTTCATTTTAAAAGGGAGTTTTTCTTTCCACTGTTGCCACTGTGCTTGCTCAGGATGGGAGACTGAAGATGCAACAAGTCTGCTGCTTCCATAGAAAACTTTATTAATTGGCTTTTCTATGTTTTTTGGGCGGCTGTGGCTGAGTGGTTAGAGCAGTCGTCCTCCAATGCGAGAGTTGGGGGTTCGAATCTACCAACAGTCACATGCCGAAGTGTCCCTGGGCAAGACACTGAACCCCTCATAGCCTCTGATGTGTGTCCCATCAGTGTATGAATGTGATAAAGCTCTGACTAGTCTCTTTATAATGATTTGTTCTATTATCTTTGTAGAGATGCAGAGTGCTGTATGAATGGGTAAATGAGGCACAGATTGTAAAGAGCCTTGAGTATCTTGTAATAATATAGAAAGGCACAGTCCATTTATGCATGTGAATGTTCCTATAAAGTGCCCTGAGACAACTTTGTTGTGAATTGGCACTAAATAAATAAACTGAATTGAAGTGAAGGAGTAACAAGAGTTCAACACAGTCTCAGCTTTATGGCAAAATGGAGGAAACTGTTGAAGAGAACTCATAAATCTTGCCTTGTCTCAAAACAATCTAGACAAACTCAACATGCACTTCATTTCTATTTAAAGATGATTTGTTTAATTCCCTAACAGATTTGGATGAACACATATGTGCCCTTACTCTTTACAGCGGTGTGACACCCCTCGTGTTTTCTCTTACCTCCCAGGTGATCTCCATGTTGTCTTTTTGGGAGCCCCATCCCCGTAAATCTCTCGGAATGACATCCGGGGCTTCATTTAAACAGCACAAATAGAAAAGATTCAAACATTGATCAGACATTCAAGATCAAACATTTCTTCCTTTAATAACCAGTTAATGTTTAGTGACAGATGTGTAAAACACCAGTTTTGTATCAGTTGAGCTGTTTGAGATCAGAACCAGGAAACACTTTAAGAAGGTCCCAGCCATCTTTAAAACCGCTTTTATAAACGTATGATCTTTTTGATCTCAAAGTCACGACCAGTCAATGAAACATTAATATTTATCCAAAATATGATGTTTCAGCCTAAATACATCATTCCCAGGGTTTGAATGTTTTAGAAAAGAGAGGCGTTGCTTACATGATCCACTGGTTTTGTACCGTGGGGAGGGCCGGCTCGGCAAACTCCGACCCACTGAGTTAATGGCGATGACCCTGAACTGATAGTTGACAAAGGGCACGAGCTGCAGGATGACTGAATTCAGGTCTCCAGGGTAAGTGGACAGGTCCTGCCACCTGCCTGGTTCCCAGTGGTTCTCTTCAAACTGGACCAAGAACTCTGCAGAGAAACACATTTTATGGCTCCAGAGAGGAAACATTGTTCCTTTAAAGTGCCATCACATTCTGTTCTTCTTCAATCCCAACAGCTTTAATTAAAGAAGCAGGACACCAATGTCCCCCATAACAGAAGGGTTTAAAGAGTAAATGCTTGTAGTTTTGGAGGTTAGTGGTTTTCTGGATGGGAAATGCACAAGGAATGCAAGTAAACCTAAATGTTTTTGATACGTTATTCAAGTGGGGAGGAGTCACACTGTGGAGAACACAGGTAGTTTTGTTTTGTTTGTTTGTTTGTTTGTTTGTTTGCTTTTCCAAGGCAGCACAGAGTGACCAATCCTGGTGAGTGGAGGGAGCAATCCACAACCAGGCACAGTGGTGGAGCCAGAGGGTGGTCAATGGTGGCCTTGACCACTATAGATTATACTTATACATATATATTTACATACGCACATACACATGTTCTAGTAAACATACTTTTTGGGGACTTTGCATTGACTTCCATTTATTTTCTATAGTCTAACCCTGACCCTTACTCTAAACCTAACCACACTAGTACATGCCTAACCCCAACCCATCTGCAATTCACACCTTAATCCTAAATCTAGTCCTCCCGCCCCCCCACCAACGAGACTTCTCCTTATGGGGACCTGGCTTTGGTCCCCATAAGGAGCAGTTGGTTCCCACAGTGCATGATTT